AAGAAAAGCGAAATCATTAGTCCGGAGAAATATGCGACCTGATTTGCCCATGAACTCCATGCCTGGAAGAGGACCTCATTTCATTATTTCTCAGCATAGTCTTCAATGAGAGAAGGGAAGAAAGAAAGAAGGAACAAATAATAAAAATAAAAAAGAAAGAGAGAAAAATCGCAATTGTGCAGTGCGATTTTCTCTACAGAGAAACTACAAGAAGAATTTACTTGAAGCAACAACCACAGATGGGGCCATGTCGAACAATCTATCCTGTGGGTAGGATAGGGTAGCCCGCAAGTATCAAAGTTGTGCCGTTGCCGCTGCTCCAAAAATCGACAATGGCGCTAGGGCCTCACAAAGTGCTAATGTGAGCTAATGGACGAGATACCTCGTGCACACCCATGACACACAACGTGGATTACGAAGTAGCGACTAAATATGCGCGGGTTAGTGAACCCATGGAACAAGCATGTTCAGACAACTCGTCCAGACACGCCCCCTCATTCCAAGGGGAAAAGAGCGAGTACTTGTTTGTTTGATTGAGCTTCTTTGATGGTTTTCTGTGCTTCCTTTTCATTTTCAGTCAACTCGCTATCCACGATTTCACTATCTACCGCTGTTACCCCACTAATTCGATCTGGGCTTGTTGCTCTAATAGACTTTGTATATCAACTCAACTCACAGATAATGAACGGTATTTGAAACAGTGCAGGAAAAGGGAGACCGGTGAGGAAGCGGAGGACAATGAAGGACTCGATGTTCTGGAAAGAAATTCTTAATGAACTCGATTTTGTCTAGTCAAAGTGGTGTAGCCGGGTGCAGCGAACCCTCGCCAGGGTATGGGCCCCCAAAACATGACGCCCCCATCTCTGGATGCATCCCCTATTGTTGATCACGACGACTGCGTCATCGACCGAAGTAGAGACACAGAGTTTTGGGGAACCCATCCCTGACCAGGGCTTGCTTCACCCGGCCTCCGGTAACCGGGCATTCCGCGACTCGCTTTACCTGGACGAATGCGTTGGCCGTTCCGAATACGACCAGGGAAGTAAGGATGATGAAGAAACTGCGACGTCGCCCAAACCTGAAACAGCTTCACCATAGCCAGCCAAGCAAGAAAACGTGGACCCAGAGCACTTTCAAATCGTTCATTGCATGCATGTCAGCACTCTATATGGCATGACCTCTACTGTTGAAACTTACTTGTCAGCGATATATCCGAATAAAAAGTTCCCGATGAAACTGCCCACGTAGAACGATGTTGTCGAGATTTCCACCCAGTGTTGACGATCGCAAACCAGATCGAACTGTGAAGGTATAAAGTTCGTTTTTCAAAATGGCACAAAAGTGGTCCACTTCAATGGCTATAGGCGTTACTGATAAAGTGGAAGGAATGAACCTGTGGAAACGCTTTCTAAAGATGAGAGACTAGAAATTCAAAGCAGCCTAAAAACAATCATCAGGAAGGGATTACAGTTGAAGCTCGCCCCATCCCCCTTTAACAGGGGACTCGAGCTTCAACAGAAACATCTCTTGATTGACTCAAGAGTGAAGAGCTGATTGCTCCTCGATCACTATGAGAGAGCTGCCAACTGATTCCGCAATATTGCAGAGCAATCTCGGCTACCCAACAGGAGGCCTCTCGCGCGCCAAAAAGGCAGAGACACAGACGGTCAGCGGACGAGTCGCAGCGCGTATTGTAGCGATGTAGCGTCAAGTTAGGTCGAAGGTATTATCGTACGTCCTTCATCACACAGTACGCACTGCGACTCGTCCGCTGACTCACCTGGGTCTCTTGCTTTCGTCGCGCACATACAATACCGCTACTAATTTTTGTTCAATCGACGGTTTGCGACGGTCGGAAACCGTCGCAAACCGTCGGCTCGCCATAACTCTTTAAAAAATGGTTCGCTCGACCTGCAGTTTATACCATCTGATAGCTCTGCTCGAGATCTACAAGATGGTTAAATTCAATTTCTGAAAGAGCTCCATCTAGGATTGCGCCATGCACTCGACCTCCATCCCGAGAAGTAATGAATATACTTTGTATGTGATGCGCATATAAGTCCTCCTATGCAGCCTGATCATCCCACAGAAACATGGATCTCAACACCCTCAGAATACGCCACGTACCCAACCGGTCCACCATATGGTGAGATTGAATGAATGTTTTTTTTTCGAATTTCACGATCTTTAATTCGTTAGAGCGCTAATTGGCTAACCGTGCGCTGATCAACCCATTCTTCCACTCCAAATGAGAATCTTCGAACAGTTTCCAGCAGTAGTAGTAGACCTATTATGTGACATTCCCCACATTTAGAGGAGATGATTTGCGGAAACCTGAGAAGATAGCCAGGAATCTCTCCACAGACGTAGACTCCAGTTACTTCTCTGTAAGATTGATGTAGAATATTTGGTCACGGGTAAGCGCTCCGTCCGTGGTGTGGCCCCAAACATCACTCTCCGTCATGCCCTAAAATGAAAATCAGATTTTTTGCTCTTCCAGATGACTCTACAGAGCTGAGGGGTGCACCGTTCGATTTCCCATGAAAAATACTACCGAATGGTGTACAACTCAGGTTTCACACAAAACTTTGTTTTTCTCACTTTTTTGCTCCCCATTGCCGATCGTCCTCCCAGCCCTTGGCGCCACGTGCGATTTAGCGAGAAATTCTCTCCACCGACGTGGACTCCGGTCACTTGTCTGTAGGAAAGAGGTAGAATATTTGGTCACGGGTAAGCGCTCCGTCCGTGGTGTGGCCCCAAACATCACTCTCCGTCATGCCCTAAAATGAAAATCAGATTTTTTGCATTTCCAGATGAACTCGCAGACCTGAGATGTGCCCCATTGGATTCCCCGTGAAAAATGCTATCGAATGATATACATTACTCCTCCCAGTTGAAACTTTGGTTTTTCACCGTTTTCAGCCTTCCCCTATTGCCATTGGGCATCATTATTCCACTATTACTGCCCCAAAATCTCAAAGTTTCATTTTTCGTCGAAACTTTGCCTATTGGGGTAATTCGATGCCCTGATTACGAATATGACATTCATTCTCGTAGTGGGCCCCAAACATCACACCTCGCCCCATTTTTTGCGACAACTTTTTTTGTTCCATGTTTAGAGCAGATGTTATGTAGAAAGCTGTGAAGGCAGCGACGAATTTCCTTTACTGTCGTAGACTACGGTTACTTGTCTGTAGGAATTACATAGAAACCTTGGTGGCAGGTGAGTCTTCCTTCCGTAGTGCGACCCCAAACATCACACCTCGTCATGCCCTTGCGATATGATCAGATTTTTTTGGTTCTCCAGATGAACATAGAAGACTGAGATGTGCACCATTCAATTCCCCATAACAAATACTGTCGAACGGTATACAACTCACTTTTGGAGAACATCTAGTTTACCTGCCACTAGATCCATTTTGTGCTATTCACGTGCGCGGAGCGTGAGAGCTCACGTGACAGCCGATGGCCTTTCTCGGTAGCTGGCGGGCAGCCCGATCGATACACCGCTATGCGTGTCGAAAGTGCGTGGGAAAGTCACCACGCACCGCGCACGTGAGTGGCCAGGGCTGAGGAAGGCGATCGGCGATAAGGAAAAGGCCGAAAACGGTGAAAAACGAAAGTTTCAAGTGGGAACTGAGATGTATATCGTTCGATAGCATTTTGCATGGAGAATCGAATGGTGTACACCACAGCTCCGTAGAGCCACCTGGAAGACCAAAAAATCTGGTTTTTATTTCAGGGCATGACGGAGAGCGATGTTTGAGGCCACACCAGGGAAGAAACACTCGCTCAAGCCCGAGTGTATCATCTTTTTCCAACATACAAGTAAACTTACTCTACGATAGGAAGAGAGTTCGTCCCTCCCTTCTCGAATTTCCTCAAAACATCCCTTCGAAAATTGGGAAATGTCACAAAATGGATCTAGTGGCAGGTAAACTAGATGTTCTCCAGAAAGTGAGTTGTATACCGTTCGACAGTATTTTTTATGGGGAATTGAATGGTGCACATCTCAGTCTTCTATGTTCATCTGGAGAACCAAAAAAATCTGATCATATCGCAAGGGCATGACGAGGTGTGATGTTTGGGGCCACACTACGGAAGGAAGACTCACCTGCCACCAAGGTTTCTATGTAATTCCTACAGACAAGTAACCGTAGTCTACGTCAGTAAAGGAAATTTGTCGCTGCCTTCACAGCTTTCTACATAACAGCTGCTCTAAACATGGAACAAAAAAAAAGTTGAAGTTGTCGCAAAAAATGGGGCGAGGTGTGATGTTTGGGGCCCACTACGAGAATGAATGTCATATTCGTAATCAGGGCATCGAATTACCCCAATAGGCAAAGTTTCGACGAAAAATGAAACTTTGAGATTTTGGGGCAGTAATAGTGGAATAATGATGCCCAATCGGCAATAGGGGAAGGCTGAAAACGGTGAAAAACCAAAGTTTCAACTGGGGAGTAATGCATATCATTCGATAGCATTTTTCACGGGGAATCCAATGGGGCACATCTCAGGTCTGCGAGTTCATCTGGAAATGCAAAAAATCTGATTTTCATTTTAGGGCATGACGGAGAGTGATGTTTGGGGCCACACCACGGACGGAGCGCTTACCCGTGACCAAATATTCTACCTCTTTCCTACAGACAAGTGACCGGAGTCCACGTCGGTGGAGAGAATTTCTCGCTAAATCGCACGTGGCGCCAAGGGCTGGGAGGACGATCGGCAATGGGGAGCAAAAAAGTGAGAAAAACAAAGTTTTGTGTGAAACCTGAGTTGTACACCATTCGGTAGTATTTTTCATGGGAAATCGAACGGTGCACCCCTCAGCTCTGTAGAGTCATCTGGAAGAGCAAAAACTCTGATTTTCATTTTAGGGCATGACGGAGAGTGATGTTTGGGGCCACACCACGGACGGAGCGCTTACCCGTGACCAAATATTCTACATCAATCCTACAGAGAAGTAACTGGAGTCTACGTCAGTGGAGAGATTCCTGGCTATCTTCTCAGGTTTCCGCAAATCATCTCCTCTAAAATGTGGGGAATGTCACATAATAGGTCTACTACTACTGCTGGAAACTGTTCGAAGATTCTCATTTGGAGTGGAAGAATGGGTTGATCAGCGCACGGTTAGCCAATTAGCACTCTAGAACGAAGTTAAAGATCGTGAAATTCGAAAAAAAAACATTCACTTCAATCTCACCATATGGTGGACCGGTTGGGTACGTGGCGTATTCTGAGGGTGTTGAGATCCATGTTTCTGTGGGATGATCAGGCTGCATAGGAGGACTTATATGCGCATCACATACAAAGTATATTCATTACTTCTCGGGATGGAGGTCGAGTGCATGGCGCAATCCTAGATGGAGCTCTTTCAGAAATTGAATTTAACCATCTTGTAGATCTCGAGCAGAGCTATCAGATGGTATAAACTGCAGGTCGAGCGAACCATTTTTTAAAGAGTTATGGCGAGCCGACGGTTTGCGACGGTTTCCGACCGTCGCAAACCGTCGATTGAACAAAAATTAGTAGCGGTATTGTACTTGTAACGGGACACCGTCATCTCTTAGTTGCGTTTTGAGGGGCTCCCAAACTCCAAGCACAGCTCTCATTCAGGAGTTTTTTTATGTCCCAGGTATATTTAGCAATGTTGTGAACTTAATACGTAGGCTCTTAAGCTGAATGAAGAAGTTCAACCTCAAATTGGCGTGAGACGCTCAAGCCGGATTAGGACTGCCCTATGAAATTCAAAAAGGCACAACGTGATGGATGACCCTTGCCTGACGGGACTGTAAGCTCAGCCGTTCGACGAAACAGAACTAATCAGTTTAAACCACTCAACTTCGGTCACGAGACTGTCCGTGTAAGTTGTGTTATCGTATTCCCATCCTAACTGGCACGGAACCAAGCTGATTTCGTCCCTGTAATGCTTCCTATTAGCGAAGAAAGTCTATAGGATTACATACAGCAATTAACTTGGCAGTAAAGTAAGCTAAAAGATGTACTATATGCAATTCTGAAAAAGTCAAGGCAAAGTGGATCAAAAATCAAAGCTAACTGAGAGTTTTTGAAGAAAAAATTCATAGGAGGAATAAGTTCCGGATTTATTGAACTCCAATTCTTCTTGTCAATTTATCAAAGGTTTCTTCCTAATTTTTTTTTCGAATTTGGGAACAATCCACAACGCAAAGGATAAATAAACACCTGTAGCCTCGGATAGGCGATGAAGTGAAGGAGCGATAGAAGTCGACCTGAGTTTGATTGTACTGGAAACATTTCAACACATCCTAAATCAAAACATTTGAATATTTCTACGCGTTTCACATATAGAGCGAGTTTTTCTAACCGGATCAGTGTCCTGAGGTTTGAGATCGTCACGACCAGGTGGCAGCCGACATTGGTGAGGTGGCGAGCCGACAACGAATGGTTGATTGAAAGCGGAGAAAGCAGACGGAAGGCTGGCTGGGAGACATATGATAAAGAAGAACAGGATCTGGTACGGTCCGAAGTCTCCAACCTAAACGGTGGAGCTCGTACAAGAACATGATTTGTTAGGTAGCTCATTTGGAGGAGGATTCCACGATAAGGTCGTTCTGAGAAGGGCAATCTACCCAGTGGAGAGACAGGCGAATCTCCTAAGGGTGCGCACCGACACGGAATTCGCAGCGAAATGATATGCCCTGGCGATCGAGCATGGCCGTCCCCGCGGCGCTGTCGCCACTGTCCGCCCCCTCCCCCCTCCCCGCGCTAACCACCGTGATTTCTTCATAAATAAGAGTCACTTCAATTTCTTCTAGCACATTTCTGGAGATCAGTCTTACCATTAGTACATTAGCGATGTCAAATGCGTTTTGAAAATCAAAATTGAAGGACAATTATTGCAATATCGCGGGACCCCAGTTGCGGATGGAGCGATTTTGGGGCTGGGGCGATTTTTCGGTGAGCTCCACAAGCAGCGCTCGCGGGGGCACGAAAACGGTACCAGCTTCCTCAACCCATAGCCACCTCTTGCAGTGGTTCATATACTTCATCGATTCCCCTTCACTCTCTAGTAATTTCTGCTTTTAAAGGGCTAAGAATCCATCGCGTCATGCCGCCTTCAGAAATTGGACGAAAGCCCTGGAGGGATCCCCCCCACCACCACATCATCATCATCACAACCTTCACCTGCATTATTGCTTACCACGCCAAACTGCAACGAAGCGTAAAACCCGTCAAATCCGTTTCCCCATTACCAAAACTGATCACCTTCCTTGAACATGACTCGTTCAACTTCGACCTCTGCAGCCGCCCCCTTAAACTCCAGTTATGATCTCAGCCGAGAATCACAAATATGACCCCGGTGGTAGAGGTTTCCTAACATAAAGTTAACCCGGGATCCCTCCTGGAGTTCAGACAGCATTCTTGGTTTGGCAGCTTGTGATGAACATTTCCATAGCTACGGCAAAATGCAACAGTAGACCAATTAGACCAATCATGAAATGAGATCATTCATCTTCGCTAATTGACATATTTTCCATGATTTATTTTCTTTCGTAGTAATTGGTCACAGAAGTTTTGCATAATTGAAAACCTGCTGAGGCCAATATTGCCACAGTGACATTCTCTTGGATCGAAATTTCTGCTAGATTTGGTCAGCAGTTTTTTTCAAT